CAGTTGTTGAAGAAACTGTCATTTCCCCATTGTATATCCATGGTTCCTTTATCATATATTAATTGACCATATATGTGTGGGTATATATCTGGGCTCTCTAGACTGTTTGTTCCATTGGTCTGTGGGTCTGTTCTTGTGCCAGTACCAAATTGTCTTGATTACTGTGGCTTTGTAGTAGAGCTTGAAGTTGGGGAGCGTATTCCCCCCAACTTTATTCTTCCATCTCATGATTACTTTGGCTAGTTGGGGTCTTTTGTTGTTCCAAATGAATTTTAGAACTATTTGCTTAGTTCGCTGAAGAATGCTGCTGCTATTTTGATGGGGATTGCATTGAACCTGTAGATTGCTTTAGGCAGGATGGCTGTTTTGACAATATAAATTGTTCCTATCCATGAGCATGGAATGTGTTTCCATTTATTGGTATCTTCCTTAATTTCTCTCATGAGTGTTTTGTGGTTTTCACAGTATGGTTCTTTCAGTTCCTTGGTTAGGCTTATTCCTAGGTATTCTTTTTGTTGTAATTGTGAATGGAATTGTTTTCCTGATTTCTCTTTGCTGCTAGTTCATCATTAGTGTATAGGAAAGCAACAGATTTCTGTGTATTAATTTTGTATCGTGCAGCTTTGCTGAATTCAGATATTAGATCTATCAGTTTTGGAGTGGATTCTTTAGGGTTTTTTATGTACAATATCATGTCATCTGCAAACAGTGAGAGTTTAACTTCTTCCTTGCCAATCTGGCTGCCTTTTATTTCTTTGTGTTGTTTGATTGCCATGGCTAGGACCTCCAGAACTATGTTGAATAGAAGTGGGCAGAGTGGGCATCCTTGTCTTGTTCCTGATCCTAAAGGAAAACCTTTCAGCTTCTTGCTGTTAACTATAATGTTGGCTGTTGGTTTGTGATATATGACCTTAATTATGTTGAGATACTTGCCCTTTATACACATTTTATTGAGAATTTTTAACATGAATGGAAGTTCAATTTTGTTGAGTGCTTTTTCAGCGTCTATGTAAATGATCATGTGGTTTTTCTCCTTTTTGTTGATGTGGTGGATGATGTTGATGAATTTTCTAATGTTTTACCATCCTTGCATCCCTGGAATAAATCCTACTTAATCATGATGGATGATCTTTTTTATGTATTTTTAAATTCGGTTTGCTAATATTTTGTTAAGTATTTTTGCATGTATGTTCATCAGGGATATTGGTCTGTAATTTTCTTTTTTTGTGGTGTCTGCCTGGTTTTGGTATCAGAGTGATGCTGGCCTCGTAGAGTGACCTTGTCTTCTACTTTTTGGAAAAATTTTAAGAATGGGTTTTAGGTCTTCACTAAATGTTTGATTAAATTCAGCAGTGAGACCATCTGGTCCAGAGGTTTTATTCTTAGGTAGTTTTTGATTACCCATTCAGTTTCATTGCTGGTAATTGGACTGTTCAGATTTTCTGTTTCTTCCTGAATTAGTCTTGGAAGGTGGTATTTTTCTAGAAAGTTGTCCATTTCTTCTAGGTTACCCAATTTGTTAGCATATAATTTTTCATAGTATTCTCTAATAATTCTTTTTTATTTCTGTAGTGTCTGTGGTGATTTTTCCTCTCTCAGTTTTGATTCTGTTTATGTGTGTAGACTCTCTTTTTTTCTTGATAAGTCTGGCTAGGGGTTTCTCTATTTTGTTAATTTTCTCGAAGAACCAGCTCCTGCTTTCATTGATTCTTTCTCGTGTTTTATTTTTCTCGATTCTATTTATTTCTGCTCTAATCTTTATTATGTCCCTCCTTCTAATGACTTTGGGCCTCATTTGTTCTTTTTCTAGTTTCATTAGTTGTAAGTTTATACTATTCATATGGGATTGTTCTTTCCTGAGGTAGGTCTGTATTACAATATAGTTTCCTCTTAGGCCGGCCTTCACTGTGTCACACAGATTTTATGAAATTGAGTTATTGTTGTCATTTGTCTCCATATATTGCTTGATCTCTGTTTTAATTTGGTCATTGATCCATTGATTATTTAGGAGCATGTTGTTAAGCCTCCACATTTTTGTGGGCTTTTATGTTTTCTTTGCATAATTTATCTTTAGTTTCATACTTTTGTGGTCTGAGAAGCTGGTTGGTATAATTTCAGTCCTTCTGAATTTACTGAGGCTCTCTTTCTGGCCTAGTATATGATCTATTCTTGAAAATGTTCCATGTACACTTGAGAAGAATGTGTATCCTGTTGCTTTGAGGTGGAGTGTTCTATAGATGTCCATTAGGTCCATCTGTTCTAATGTGTTCTTGAGTGCTTCTGTCTCCTTACTTATTTTCTATCTGTTTGATGTGTCCTTCACATCAGTAGTATTTTGAAGTCTCCTAAAATGAATGCATTTTATTCTATTTCCCCCTTTAATTCTGTTAGTATTTGTTTCACGTATGTAGGTGCTCCTGTGTTGGGTGCATAGATATTTATAATGGTTATATCCTCTTGTTGGACTGACCCCTTATCATTATGTAATGTCCTTTGTGTCTTGTGACTTTCTTTGTTTTGAAGTCTATTTTGTCTGATACAAATACTGCAACACCTGCTTTTTTCTGCCTATTAGTTGCCTGAAATATCTTTTTCCATCCCTTCAGTTTCAGTCTGTGTATGTCTTTGGGTTTAAAGTGAGTCTCCTGTAGACAGCATATAGATGGGTCTTGTATTTTTATCCATTCAGTGACTCTGTGTCTTTTGATTGGTTCATTCAGACCATTTACATTTAGGGTAATTATTGATAGATGTGTACTTATTGCCATTGCAGGCTTTAGATTCATGGTAACTAAAGGTTCAAGGGTAACTTCTTGACTATCCAACAGTCTAACTCACTCACTTAATACACTATTACAAACACAATCTAAATCTTTTTTTTTCTCTTTTTTCTTCCTCGTCCATTCTTTACATATTATGTATCATATTCTGTACTCTTTGTCCCTTGACTGACTTTGGGGGTAGTTGATTTAATTTTGCATTTGCTTAGTAATTAATTGGTCTACTTTCTTTACTGTGGTTTTATTTTCTCTGGTGCCAGCTATTTAGCTTTAGGAGCACTTCCATCTGTAGCAGTCCCTCCAAAATACACTGTTGAGATGGTTTGTCAGAGGTAAATTCTCTCAACTTTTGCTTCTCTGGAAATTCTTTAATTCCTCCTTCAAATTTAAATGATAATGTTGCCAGGTAAAATGTTCTTGGGTCTAGGCCCTTCTGTTTCATTGCATTAAATATATCATGTCACTCCCTTCTGGCCTGTAAAGTTTCTGTTGAAAAGTCTGATGATAACCTGATGGGTTTTCCTTTGTATGTGATCTTTTTTCCCTCTCTGGCTGCTTTCAGTACTCTGACCTTATCCTTGATCTTTGCCATTTTAATTATTATATGTCTTGCTGTTGTCGTCTTTGAGTCTCTTGTGTTGGAGATCTGTTCACCTCCATGGCCTAAGATGCTATCTCCTTCCCCACATTGGGGAAGTTTTCAGCAGTTACCTCCTCAAAGACACTTTCTATCCCTTTTTCTCTCTCTCTCTTCTTCTTCTGGTACCCCTATAATGCAAATATTGTTCCGTTTGTATTAGTCACACAGCTCTCTTAATATTCTTTCATTCCTACTGATCCTTTTTTCTCTCTGTGCCTCAGCTTCTTTGTATTCCTGTTCTTTAATTTCTATTTCATTTACTTTCTCCTCTACTTCATCTAATCTGCTTTTAAATCCTTCCATTGTGTGTTTCATTTTGGATACTGTATTTTTCTAAGTTTGTATCTCATTCTTGAATTCCTCCCTGAGTTCTTGAATATTTTTCCATATCTCCATGAGTATGTTTATGATTTTTATTTTGAAATCTCTTTCAGGAATATTGGTGAAGTCAGTTTCACTTGGCCCTCTTTCTGGTGTTTGAGAGATTTTTGTTTGAACTAAGTTCCTTTGACATTTCCTATTTGTAGGTGGCACCCTCTAGTGCCCAGAAGCTCTAGTCTCTGGAGCAGCTCAGTCCCTGGAGCAGTAGTGGGGGTTGCAGGCGAGCGGCACTGGTGCCTTTTGGGAGAAAAGAGCTCTTTCCTGCTCCCCAGCTACTGTGCCTGCCTCCACTGCCAGGGCCAGTGGGCCAAGCACACAGGGAGGAGCCTCTGTGCTATGTACTTGTAGCTGCCATAGGTGGGATGGCCCTCTGGCTGGCTTGGTGCAATGGTGGAGGCAGCCGGTTTGTGAGATGGTTCCCACCAGAGGAAGCAGCAGCCTGTGTATCACAGTGGGGTGCCTCATAGCTGCATTGCTAGCCACCAGGATGGAAGTCCTGAAGCTCTTCTAAGTTCCCACCCTGCTGGGCTGAGTGCACCAGAACAATTTTGTCCACCTGTCTTTTCTCCTGAGCATCAAGTTATGTGCAATCCTTGCTCCTTTAGCAGCCCTCTCGCTGTTAGGAAGTCTCTCAGAGTGCCTGCTTTTCTTTTATCCCAGAGCAGCCGGTTGTGGGTACATGTTATGTACAAGCAGCTGGAATCTCGGTCTCTCCTAGTATTCTCCCTGTCTTAGCTTTATATATGTCCAGAGCACCATGGAATGTAGGTTCCTGTTTCCAGAGCAGATCTCCAGGGCTGGGTGTTCAGCAGCCCTAGGCCTCCACCCACTCCCTGCTCTGTTTCTCTTCTTCCCTCCAGTGATCTTGGGTGAGGGAAGGTCTTAGGTCCTGCTGGATCATGTCTTTGGTACTTTACCCTTTTCTGTTAGGTCTGCTGTGTTCCCAAGTGTAGGCTGTCTGCTGCTGCCTTCTTTCCTGTTACTCTTTCAGGATTAGTTGTATTTGCTACATTTTCATATTATATGTGGTTTTTGGAGGAGGTTTCTGTCTCAGCTCTGATGCTGCCATGTTTTTGATATCACAACAAATTTATGTCCTCTGGAATTGAATAAAGGGAGATTTTAGTAATAGCAGATCATTTATCCTTTATTTACTGTTAAATTACTAAGGATTTACAGTATATTTTCCCCCCCCACAGGTCTGGGAAAAGGTCAAGGCTTCTTAATGATCTACACCCTCGAGATGATATACAGATAATGGATTATGTTTATGTCAACGGTAGACCTTCCCAGAGGCGTGGGGATTTTTTTAAACACCAGTGTAATGATAGCATGCCAGAAGAAAGACATCTGAGAAATTGGCATTTTGGTAACAAAGGTCCAGGACCAAAATGTTCATTTATTGCTGATCACTGGTGTTATGATGTCTCCCAAGAGGAAATAGATTTCAATAACAGGATTGAGAGAACCTTCTCTCATCAACCTGGGAGAAGACGAGAACCATTTCATGATCACAAGCCTCACAGTGACTTCTGTGAACCAGATGCTGGAGATGATTTTGATTTTGTTAGCAAAGTTTGTGGACAAAGGAGACATTCTGTTCAGAACCAGCAAGGCTTCAGTAATTTGTGGGAACAATTTCCAACCAAAGACTTAGGTTTTATTAACGTAAGTCAGGGACTAAAGCGACGACTGCACCATAACTACCATGAGTACCCACCTCATGGTGATTTTCAGAACCAGTTACCTGTACAAAGTCTTAATTACCTCAATAGACGTGGCTTTGAAAGGCAAAAACCTTTCCGCCAGCACTATTCTCATGATGAAATGAATTTGGAAGATTTAGAGTATACTGATGAAGTTTCAGAGCACACCCTGGGACCTTTCCATGAGTATTCCAACAGTGATTTTTCAGAGAAAATGCCATTGAAAAAATGTGTTAACAAAGATTATGGAGAAAGACTACCACACTTTCCAAAGTTTCAAAAACAAATGCAATTAAGAAATTTTTATCTCAACAATGGAACTGGACAAAAGCATGTGTCTTACCTTGACCACCTACCTAGTAATCCACAAGAGCAGATTCTATTGGAAGACTTGGACTTTGAACAGGAAACATCCTTACAAAGAATAAGATCTTTTCAGGACCACCAACTTCCTAATAACATAAATCCTGATTGGTATTTAGATAAGTGAGTCATTTTGCTTTGTACAGTGAGGAAGGTATTTGATTCCAACAAAACACTCTAGCTTCTTTCAAATTAGGGTATTTGTGTAAACACTCAAAAGTGATATAAATTATCCCCCCAAACTAAAGTTCAGATGTGTTCTTGTGTAGTTTAATTTACAATTAAAGTTTTTTTTCTCATGCTATGAGTTAGAAATTTCCCTTAAAGTTATTTCCCAGGATTGAAATAAACATAAAAAAAATAGAATTAAGTGGTTTAGTTTTTGACCATAAGCTGAAAGTAAAAAATACCAGAAACAGATTTTTCACAGAAATACCATGATTTTTAGACCAGGATTTTAAGAAATATTCCTCTTAAATGTGCTACAAATTATTTTTTAATATACACAACCCAGCAGTTCTTTTTCTGCTGTTTAGTAATTTTTACCTGTGCCATTAGATGGGAGCATTAGGAGAGAACACTGACCCCAGTGAAACTGAAGTGCAAGGCAGGAAGGAGAAGGGTGAAGGATGATGTCCTAAGGAGAAACAAGATAAGAAATAAAAGATATAAAATGGGTAGAAATAAAAAGGGAAGTCAGAAAAAGAAAGTGATATGCTAGAATAGAAAATAGGACCGTAGAAGAGAGAGAAGGCTTGAGAAGGGAGGTGAAGAGTTATATACAGAGCAAGTTATGTGCTTTTCCTTCCAATTTAGAATGTTTTCTTTAGTGTGCAACATAATTCTGCATATACTTGGGTAGATATGAACTCTTGCTTGAACCTAGTATGAGTTTTCTTTAGGAATTATTATTTTTTCTCTTATAACTTTTTAACCAGCATCTCATCTCTCCTTCCGCACTTCCTTCACTTCACAGGAACCTTGGCCGTAATGATTGTGGGACCAGAAGTCAGAGGTAAATAGTGATTTAGCTGTGAAAGAGTCTTTTTCAAGCCTATCCCTTAATTGCTACCATTGACATTGTAAACATGTTAGAAAACAAAGTGTTTCATGAATTCATATCTATTCAGGGTTTATATACAACCTCTGCAGGTCCTAGCCACAACTTCCTGGAATGATTATCACTTCTCCCTTATGGTTTGGGATTGTAAAACCAATTAATCAGTTCATCAGCACCTGGATTTTCAGTGGCTAACAGTAGGTACCAGTTAAGCCAGAAATTTAAGTTTTACTTCCTTTATGATAACTTAGCTGTGTTTCATGATTTTACATCCTAACCCCATCCTACATCCTAACCCCAACCCCACTATCTTCCATTGAACAAGATAAAAGACAAGGTTGGTCATTAAAAATCTCTCACTTTCCTTAGGACAATCTCTCTATTACTGATGATGGTCTGGGTTAGTTCAGTATTCAAAAAGGCATGTAAAATTACAGGCCTCTTTTTGGCATCCTTTTTTCCCATCTTGTCACTAAGCCCCAAATGTGGGATCAGGATTGCAAGTTTATCTTATGTGAAAGAGTGTGTTTCAGTATAAAAGGATATTATTCCATACTGATTTATATAAAATCTTGTATTCTTCCTTGTAACTTACCCACTACTGACAGTCCTAAGTAACATAGCAATGTTAGCAATTTGAAATATGGCAGGAAAAAAATACAGAGTTCTTTACTGTAGATGCTATTGAGTATTTACATCAAAAACCTGCTAGAATTATCGCACAAACGTATGCTTCAGTAGAGGTTTATTAAAAGAGAGGGTTTAGGTTTAAACATATGAAAAGCAAAAATCAATTTAAAATCAGTGATTCATTAGCCTTTTTTAGCTTCTCAGTGTCAAAGAAATATTCTGAAAGATTTTGTCAATAACCCATTGATTTGCTGCTACACCAGAATGATTCTGCTGCTCTCTTTAACCTCATAATCTAAAAGGAATAGGCTAGCTGCTGTGGTCCTAACTGTCCCTACAGAATGAAGAGAGGCCTATAAAATGTGTCCTATCTCCTTTCATTCAAGGTGCATCCTTCTATACAATTAAGGACTTTAACTTTCTGTTTACTTTTACCACATTGCATCATGCAATGACTCTGCCCATCTTCACTGTTTGACTGTTGGTAAAAGAGTACATTTACTTCTTTTAGCACAATGTCCTGCATAAAGTTTGAATCCAATTCCATTGGTGATTATACTTAACACTTGGTTTTGTAAGATTGGCAAAATGATGATAATTGATGAAGTTATATAATGGGTTCATGGATGTGTATTATATTATTCTACTTTTATGTTTTAAAATTCTAATAATAAAGAATTAAAAACAATTTGTTTTTATTGTATTATTAGATTTAGTCATCCAGAAGATAGTCGAAGAATATATCCTTCAAATGGATTCAATTGCAGGAGACACAGCAGATTCACAACATATCCTTCACGAGGACTTCCATCTTCATGGGTATTCCAAGAAGATTATTCAGTTGATCATTGCAAAAGTAGAAATACACGAGATATGGAACAGCACAAAAGGTCATATTTTTAAGCTACGGATAATAATTATGAAATGCCTATAGATTGCAGGGCTGAAGGAAAAGAGCATTATGATGTACTCTCGGGAAAAAAAAAAGGCTGAATAGTTCACTCTAAAAACTGCCCACCATTTACTTATATTTGTCCCTTTTTTATTGTTACTGGGCCAAAAATCATTTCATATTAGAAAGTAAAATATGTTGAAAGACAACTTGTATTATTACAAAATTAGCCATCTACTGCTTTCAATTTTTGTAAGAGTATTTACAAATGTAAATATTTATAACCAACAATGTAGAATACATATAATTGTTGCTCTTTCAAAACTGTAAATCTATTTGACTTTTTGAGGCTCTATTTTTAGTTACATATGCTAATGATTGCACTTCTGGTTACAAACATTGTAAAAAATAAATAATTTCATTATGATTCATTTATTCATCTTATAAATAATTATTGTGTGCATATAGCAAGAGATTATTGTTTCCAACCAGCTGGTTAAACTACAAAATCATAATATTTTAAAACCTATCAGAACTAAATTCCTGAAAGTCACTAGGTTTTCTATCCCTGGTAGAGTGACAGGACGAGGAAAAAAAATCCATCATACAGAAATAAGAAACCAGCTGAACCTTAAAGAATTTTTAAGGGTTGCAAGTGGCTTGAATTACAGATCACCTACCAGCTCTCTCCCACTGGCTTCTATCAAGAAGGCTAGGGGCGGGGCAGAAGAGCTGGGAAAAAATCTCTTTGAAGCACCCTAGATCTTCACTGAGTGTAAGACAGTGGCTCCCCAAAGGCAGAGGGCGGGGGAGACTGAAATCTTCTGAGGCACAAAACTGACAAAAGAAACACTTAAGGATTGTTGTAAAAAAGGAAGATTAAGCTTGAGCTGGCCTATTGTGGAACGGGCTGCCAGGTGAAGTACAGCAGTCAGGTACTAGATGACCACCTACCTGAGAGCCAGTAGAAGGAACTCCATGAATGGTAAAGTAGTCTAGATCTTAAACACCCAAAGTGTGGTCTCTGGATAGCAGTACTGGCATTACTTGGCAGTTTGTTAGAAATGCAGAACCTCAGCTTCACCCCAGACCTACTGGCTTGTTTTTATTAATTAAAATTAAATACTTTTTATTTCAACAGAATCCCTGGGTGAGTTATTTACATATTAAACTTTGATAAGCATGACCTTTTAAGATGCATTCTAATCCTTAAATTTTACTTCAATAATATGTTTAATCAAGTGCTGTTTGGTGAACTATAAAGAAACTAAATACATGATCCAAGAAGGAAAAGTTCAGTTTGGGGAATCAAGATGTCACTAGAGAATCAAGAGTCAAGCTGGTCTTTAAAAGCTGGAGGAAGAAGAATTGTCATATCAAAAGATAACAAGCAGAAGTAGTGGTATGGACCAACCTGCTTGGCAGCGGATGGGGAGATTAACTAGGACTGCTACCTTAGTTCCTGCTGAAATACCCCTGAGCCCAACTTTTCAAAAAGAAATAGGTCATGTATGTTGCCTGAAGGAGCTTAACCCAGACACTGAATAGAATGGTCTAAGTGCTCTAATGGATGCCCAGGCAAAGGGGTTGTGGTAACACAGGGAAGAGGTTTATTCGGACTTGGAAATTTGGAGAAGGCTTCGATGAAGAAGAGGCATTTGAAGTAAGCTTTGAAGGTAGATGGAGGGGAGACAAAGGTATTCCAAGTTGAGCAAATACCCTGAATGGTGTTGGGTGAAGAATCAATCTACCCTTACTGGAGTGTAAGGAACATCAGAGGGGTGGAATGGGATGTGAACTTGTAGAGAGCTCGTAGTCATGGATCAAAAGGCTTGAATGTCTGTTGGAGGGTTTGAGCTTATTATATAGGCAATGGAAAGCCACCAAGAATTTTAAGTGGGGAGCAGTGTGATTAAACCTGCTTTTTATATAGATTAATATAGCAGTGAGGGATTTCAGACAAGACCAGTATTTCTGTTATCAAGTCTTTATTGGGGTGACAAGATCAGAAAGGAGAACCAAAATGAAAAATGATACAAAGGCAGAATGGGCAGGTTCTTTTAATGAAGCTGATCCTGATCTTGGTTACTTGAAGCATTAGTGGCATTAATCATGGTAAAATGCACAGAGAGATTTGGGAGGAAAAGTAATGTTCAGTTTAGGTCATCCTAAGTACACACTATGCCCTGCCTAGTTCCCAAGATTTTCCTCCTTGTGTTAGAATTTCATTATAAGGAGTGGTGTTGTTTCTTATGTGACTATATTTCACTTTTCATTGACTAATCTATGATCTCTGATGAGCTTTGCTATTCAGCATACATGCAAAAAGCACATAAAAACAAAAAGTCAACTCAGGTGCTGATGTGGGTGATATCATCATTGTATCATCAATTTAAATATCAAATTTAATGCAATGCAATAAATTTAGTAAATTTATCAATTTAAAAAATAGAGAAGTGCAAAAGGCATATCATTGTTTTTATCACGTGTACACTTTTTTTTTAACTAAGGTATTATTGATATATACTCTTATGAAGGTTTCACATGAAAAAACAATGTGGTTACTACATTCACTCATGTTATTGTGTCCCCCCAATACCCCATTGCAGTCACAGCCCAACAATATAGTAAGATGCCACAGAGTCACTATTTGCCTTCTCTGTGCTACACTGTCTTCCCCCATGATGCCCCCCACACTATGTGTGCCAATCATAATACCCCTCAATCCCCTTCTCCTTCCCTTCCCACCCGCCCTTCCCTACCCTCCCTCTTTGGAGTTTGTGAAGCTGCTGCTGTTTTGTTCCTTCAGTTTTGCTTCATTGTTATATTCCACAATGAGGGAAATCATTTGGTACTTGTCTTTCTCCACCTGGCTTATTTCACTGAGCATAATATCCTCCAGCTCCATCCATGTTTTTGCAAATGGTAAGATTTGTTTCTTTCTTATGGCTGAATAGTATTCCATTGTGTATATGTACCACATCTTCTTTATCCACTAATCTACTGATGGACACTTAGGTTGCTTCCATTTCTTGGTTATTATAAATAATGTTGCAATATAAATAGAAGTGCATATGTCTTTTTGAAACTGGGGTCCTACATTCTTAGAGTAAATTCCTAGGAGTGGAATTCCTTGGTCAAATAGTATTTCTATTTCTGGTTTTTTAAGGAACCTCCATGTTGCTTTCTACAATGGTTGAACTAACTTACATTCCCACCAGCAGTGTAGGAGGGTTCCCCTTTCTCCACATCCTCACTAGCATTTGTTGTTCCTAGTCTTTTCTATGTTGGCCATCCCAACTGGTATGAGGTGATATCTCATTGTGGTTTTAATTTGTATTTCCCTTATAATTAGCAATGTGGACCATCATTTCATGTGCCTATTGGCCATCTGAATTTCTTCTTTGGAGAAGTGTCTGTTCATATCCTCCACCCATTTTTTAATAGGGTTATTTGCTTTTTGGGTGTTGAGGCTTGTGAGTTCTTTATATATTTTGGATATTAACCCCTTGTTGGATATGTCATTTACAAATATATTCTCCCATACTGTAGGACACCTTTTTGTTCTGTTGATGTTGTCCTTTGCTGTATAGAAACTTTCTAGTTTGATGTAGTCCCATGTGTTCATTTTTTATTTTTTTTCCCTTGCTCAAGGAGATGCAGTCAGAAAAAAGTTGCTGATGTTTATATTCAGAACGTTTTTACCTATGTTGTCTTCTAAGAGTATTATGGTTTCATGACTTACATTCAGGTTTTTTATCCATTTTGAGTTTACTTTTGTGTAAGGGGATAGACAGTAATCTAGTTTCATTCTCTTACATGTAGCCCTCCAGTTTTGCCAGCACCAGTTGTTGAAGAAGCTGTCATTTTGCCATTGTATATCCATGGCTCCTTTATCATAAATTAATTAACCATATATGTTTGGGTTTATATCTGGGCTCTCTAGTCTAAAACTTTAAGGAGAATGGATATTAGTTCTTCATTAAATGTTTCATAAAATTCAGTGGTGAAGCCATCTGGTCCAGGGACTTTGTTCTTAGTTTTTTGATTACCTGTTCAATCTCATTGCTAGTAATTGGTCTGTTCAGATTTTCTGTTTCTTTCTGGGTCAGCCTTGGAAGGTTGTATTTTTCTAGAACGTTGTCCATCTTTTCTAGGTTATCCAGTTTGTTAGCATATAATTTTTCATAGTATTCTCTAATAGTTCTTTGTATCTCTGTGGTGTCCATAGTGATTTTTTCTTTCTCATTTTTGACTCTGTTTATGTGTGTAGACTCTCTTTTTTTCTTGGTAAGTCTGGCTAGGGGTTTCTCTATTTTGTTTATTTTCTTGAAGAACCAGCTCCTGCTTTCATTGATTCTTTCTCTTGTTTTATTCTTCTCAATTTTATTTATTTCTGCTCTAATCTTTATTTTGTCCCTCCTTCTACTGACTTTTGGCCTCATTTGTTCTTTTTCTAGTTTCATTAATTGTGAGTTCAGACTGTTCATATGGTATTGTTCTTCTTTCCTGAGGTAGGCCTGTATTGCAATATACTTTCCTTGTAGCATGGCCTTTGCTGCATCAAACAGATTTTGTGGAGTTGAATTATTGTTGTTATTTGTCTCCATATATTGCTTGATCTCTGTTTTTATTTGGTGATTGATTCATTGGTTATTTAGGAGCATGTTGTTAAGCCTCCATGTGTTTGTGGGCTTTTTCATTTTCTTTGTGTAATTTATTTCTAGTTTCATACCTTTGTGGCCTGAGAAGTTGGTTGGTACAATTTCAATCTTTTTTAATTTACTGAGGCTCTTTTTGTGGCCTAGTATATATATGATCTATTCTTGAAAATGTTCCGTGTGCCCTTGAGAAGAATGTGTATCCTGCTGCTTTTGGTTGGAGAGTTCTGTAGATGTCTGTTAGGTTGTTCAATGCCTTTGTCTCCTTACTTATTTTCTGTCTGGTTGATCTGTCCTTTGAAGTGAGTGGAGTATTGAAGTGTCCTAGAATGAATGCATTGCACTCTATTTCCTCCTTTAATTCTGTTACTATTTGTTTCACATATATAGGTGCTCCTGTGTTGGGTGCATAGATATTTATAATGGTTATATACACTTGTTGGACTGACCCGTAATCATTATGTAATGTCCTTCTTTGTCTCTTGTGACTTTCTTTGTTTTGAAGTCTATTTTGTCTGGTACAAGCATTGCAACACCTGCTTTTTTCTGCCTATTAGTTGCATGAACTATCTTTTTCCATCCCTTCACTTTTAGTCTGTGTATGTCTTTGGGTTTGAATTGAGTCTCCTGTAGGCAGCATATAGTTGGGTCTTGTTTTTTTATCCATTCAGTGACTCTTTGTCTTTTGATTGGTTCATTCAGACCATTTACTTTTAGGTTGATTATTGGTAGGTATGTACTTATTGCCATTGCAGGCTTTAGATTTGTGGTTACCAAAGGTTCAAGGGTAACTTCCTTACTATTTAAGAGTCTAACTTAACTCACTGACTATGCTATTACAAACACAATCTAAAGGTTCTTTTTTTTCCCCTCCTTTTCCTCCTCCATTCTTTATATATTAGGCATCATATTCTGTACTCTTTGTCCATCCCTTTTTATTACCTCTGGTGACAGCTGTTTAACCTTAGGAACACTCCCATCTATAGCAGTCCCTCCAAAATACACTGTAGAGATGGTTTGTCAGAGGTAAATTCTCTCAGCTTTTGTTTATCCAGAAATTGTTTAATCCCTCCTTCAAATTTAAATGATAATCTTACCAGATAGAGTATTGTTGGTTCCAGGCCCTTCTCCTTCATTGCGTTAAATATATCATGTCACTCCCTTCTGGCCTGTAAGGTTTCTGCTGAGAAGTCTGATGGTAGCCTGATGGGTTTTCCTTTGTATGTGATCTTATTTCTCTCTGTTTTTAATAGTCTTTCCTTATCCTTGATCTTTGCCATTTTAGCTATTATATGTCTTAGTGTTGTCCTCCTTGGGTCCCTTGTGTTGGGAGATCTGTGCACTTCCATGACCTGAGAGACTATCTCCTTCCCCAAATTGGGGAAGTTTTCAGCAATTACCTCCTCTGCACTTTCTATCCCTTTTTCTTTCTTTTTCTTCTGGTACCCCTATAATACAAATATTGTTCTGTTTGGATTGGTTGCACAGTTCTCTCAGTATTCTTTCATTCCTAGAGATCCTTTTCTCTCTCTGTGCCTCAGTGTCTTTGTATTCCTCTTCTCTAATTACTATTTCATTTATTGTCCCCTCCACCGTATCTAATCTGCTTTTAATACCCTCCATTGTGTTCCTCAATGATTGGATCTCCATCCTAAATTTGTTCCTAAGTTCTTGAATATTTTTCTGTATCTCCAGGAGTATGTTTATGATTTTTATTTTGAAATCTATTTCTGGAAGATTTATTAGTTTAGTCTCACTCAATCCTTTATCTGGTGTTGAGATTTTGCTTTGAACCAGGTTCCTTTGATGTTTCATATTTGTATTAGGTGCCCTCCAGTGCCCATAAGCTCTACTCTCTGGTGCTGCTTAGCCCCTGGTGTGATGTCGGGAGTTGCAGGGGAGTAGTGCTGGTGCCTGGGGGGAGGAAAGAGCTGTTTCCTGCTTCCCGTCTTCTATGCCTGTCTCCACTGCCAGAACCAGTGGACCAAACATACAGGTGTAAGCCTCTATGCTTTGCGTTTGTAGCTGCTGTAGGTGGGGCTTCCCTCTGGCTGGCCTGAAGCCAGGGCAGGGTTTGCTGGTTTGCAAGCCAGGTGCAGGCTGGCCAGGAAGAAGGTGCAGCAGGCCGTGTATCATGGTGGGGGGCCCTGGAGCTGCGTAGCCAGCCATCATGGGGATAGAGTGCCTGAAGATTGTGAAAGTTTCCAACCTGCTGAGCAGAGTGTACCCGGACAATTTTGTCTACCTGTCCTTTCTCCTGAGCAGTAAGCTCTGTACAATCCTTGCCCCTTTAGCAGCCCTCTCACCTTTAGGAAGTCTCTCAGACTGTTCACCCAGATCAGCTGGATATTAATCCCTATTTTCTACAAGCAGGTAGAATCTCAGTCTTTCCAGGTATTCTGCCTGTCTTAGCTTTCCAACCCTACTACTCCCCAGAGCACCATGCAATGTAGGTTCATGCTCCCAGAGCAGATCTCCAGGGCTTAGTGTCAGCAGCCCCACGCCTCCACTCCCTCCCTACTCTGTTTCTCTTCCTCCCACCGGTGAGCTGGGGTCGAGGAAGGGTTTGGGTCCTGCCAGGTCACAGCTTTGATACGTTATTCTGTTCTGTGAGGTGTGTTCTTTCCTCCAGGTTATGCCATCTGGTGCAGCCTTCTTTCCTGTTGCTCTTTCAGGATTATATGTATTTATATTTTCGTATTATATATGGTTTTAGGAGGAGATTTCTGTCTCACCTCCACACCACCATCTTTCCATGTGTACACTCTTAAATGTCACTCCTCTACAAAGAAGGCTCATGGAAACACTCCTTTCCCCATTAACAAATCCATTATACCTATGATGAAACTAGTTGTATTCACTTGTATTAGCTTCATATGCAAATAAAAACGTGGGTAGTTAAATATACATTGTCTTAAACATGTAAAATAAGGACAGTAAATAGATGCATCGTCCCTTAGGCAGTCTACCATTTTAGAAGGTTAATTTAAGAGCTGCCAGAGTATCTCGATTAAGGCCATGGAAAGAGATTGCAAGCAAATAACATCTTGGAAGTAATTACTAAGAAGAGTCCTTGGTGAGATTAAGTAGATCGTAATTTACAGAAAGTACACTTTACGCTTTAGTTAATGAGATACTGTGGCATATTGAATCATTGTGCCCAATGTTTCATTCCTTTTCTGTGTTTGAAGTAATCATCCATATCCTTTGCCACGTGATATTGCCATTCCTCCCAGTGTTTCTCCAAATTGTTAATATTGGGCTTGGTCATTCTGTTGACTTATTTTGGTCAATAGAATGTGAATGGAAGTGCAAGGGGGCCCCATCCTGGCCACGGCCTTAAGAGGCATCCTATGTTTCCTCTCACTCTCTTGTGCCCCCACCATTCAGCATGAGAACATGGCTCAGGAAGTCACCAGACAAGGAGAATTCGAGATACATGGAACAGGCCTGAACCAGACCAACTACCTGAAGTAGAAGCTACCCTGCTGACTTGCAGACCCATGAACATGAAAATCAGTGTTTACTGTGGTAAGCCATTGAAACTTTGAGATTGTTGTAATAAATTTAAAAAATAAAACTAAAATAGCAACAAATGGTTAGGGAGCACAGGTAACTGTGAGCAATTGTCATATTCTAACAAGTTATCAATTATTAGAATCTGAATCAGAGAGGGACCAGTCCCACTGGGGTGAATTCAGTTCATCTCTCAAACTGACAATAAATGAGTATATATTTTAATACTAATTTTACTATTATATGGTGAACTTTGTTGTCTGAGCTATTGCAACTAATCTTTAATATTCAGTTTGCATTTTGACTATAGAATATAAGCATCAAAATCGTGTTACTTTTGAATCCAGATTAAATTTTCCAAGGGTCTTTCTTTCGTCAGGCATCTTGGCCTAAATTACAGGCATCTCTGCCTTCACCAAAACAACAAAACCTGAGGAATAAAGTGAAATTCTGAGCTGGATCTTACAAGCATATTTAAGAATAATATTAAACTTCATATATAATAATTAATAACAAAATGCTATAGTATCTATAGCTACTTTTTTAAAATCCAGCCTCTAGAGAAAGATTATTGCCTGTATCTTTTTAGCTTTGAATGTATTTTTAAACATGTGCTGTCCAATATGGTAGTAACTAGTCACATGTGGCTGCTGAGCACTTGTAGTATAGGTAGTCCTGATTAAGATGTGCTGCAAGTGCAATATACACAACAGATATCAAAAACTTAGTATGAAAAAACTAATAATAATAATATTTATTAACTACATGTTGAAGTAATATCTCGGATATAGTCACTTTCTTAAACTCTCCCTAGTTACCCAGTTTAATGTACCATTTTTGTTAACAAAGATCTTGATAAGTACAACATGAAAATGAAGCGTACTTTTTAAAACTTTTATTTATATTTCATTTTATATTTCCCATGAATTCAAAAACTGAGTAAGATGAAACTTTTCTTTCTCTCTCTCTCTCTCACATACACATACATACACACAGCCTAATTAAGTTACTTAATTCTTTTATCTACAGAAGTTACCACTGCCGATTGTTAACACCTATGTGTTCACAGGAGAAGTGTTTCCACCTTCTAAAGAAATGGGGTCACTAGAACCAAGTTTGAGTGAAGGTTTAGGAAGGAATGATAACCACTTATAAGCAGTGGCCAATCCAATATTAAAATTAGTTGATATTTTTTGGCCTTTCTCATCCAGAATGGCCCAAAGCAGATTCCTTAATTTGCATCAGAAACATTTTTCCCTCCAACAGAAATTAGATTAGGTTGTGCTTGCTGATCATCTCCATCATTTGAGATTTATAACAAGGGCAGTTTGGCTTCCAAATACCTTAAGGGATTTTTATTTTTTTTACCCAGGCAGCAATACAGAAATGGATAAGATAAGATTTTAGTGTTTATTGAAGGAAACATGAATTCTAATTTCAACTTGCAAGGAGCAGTGTTGGGAAAAGAAAAAGCAATAAACTTAGGGCAGAAGACATGTGTTTGAGTATCAGCCCTGCCAAGTACTAGTTTGTGTGACCCTTGTTTGTAAAATTGAATTAATACTTACACCCCCCCATGGGGTTTTTTAGGATCAGAATAATGTACATGACAGTATTTTGTATATGCACACATAAGGAAGAAAGGAGTTGCTATTGGCTCTATTTATACGACCTTTAATTTTCATCATTATCATCAACTATTTGAAATGGTGTGCAGTAATAAGCAAACAATAAATTTAAGAAATTAGGAGTATGGGAATCCTTGATTAGCCTTGTATGCCACCTATGTTACCATGCAAAGTATACAAAATAACAGTGTTGCCATGACAGCCTTTTTGGACTTAAAGCAATATGAAGTCTCCAGTCCATCAGTTAACACATCATCTATCTATGTGCCTTTCCACCATGCCCATAAGCCCGGTATTTATGCATAATTAAGTGCATGCTTACAAGTTATAAGGAATCAGAGTAGTATATTTGAGAGAGAAAATAATGGCTAAGTGCATGCCAAGTTTTAGCTCAGGCTTATGGGGAAATGTCTTAACCTCTCTGAGCCTCAATTTCTGAAGTGAGAGTAGAATAGCTACTGTCAGATTGTTGTGAGGGGAAAATGAGAAAATGAATGTATTGCACGTGAGCACAGAGCATGATACACAAAAAATGCTCAATAAATACTAGCGATAACAATATAACCAACTACCACTAGAAAGAGTTTAAATATTCCTAATTTGGCTTCTCATTCTTTATCAAGGTACAACAAGTTGAATTGTGAGTAGCAAAAAAGAAAAAGTCCCTGTCCACAGCATTATTAAGCTTATATTCACCTGGATGTTGTCAAAAATGACTTGATTATTCAAGAAATATAGAGATATTTGGCTTTAGTTTTGAGGTGAGCTTTTCCTTCACCCCATTCCCCACCCTGTATGAGCTCAACAGTCAGTCCCCAGATTCAGGGATGGAGAGCCTGGGACAAGGCCAGAGTAACACATCATCACTCAACAAGTAATTTACAGCAAGCCTTAAAGTAGGTACAGGTTCTCTTCATGTTCCCATGATAAGGTTCATAGTTGCTCCTCCCACAAAATACTCCATGAATAAGTAAATAGAGCCTATTCTTGTATGATGGGAGGTGCAGCACTTTCAGATCTGATTCCTGACACATCTTTATGAATACCATGAGAGTGAAAGGCATGCCACTTCTCTAACTAAATTAAACCCTTGGACAATAAGATATGGCATGGCTTTAAAACTTAGTGAGTATCTTTGTGGTGCAGTTGGTTGGCATACTTGGCTATGAACTGAAGGTTGGTGGTTTGAGCCTACTGAGGCATGGGTGGTCCTGTCTCCAGCCAAATTCTTGGTAATGAAAATATTGTGGAATTAGATACGGTGATGGCTACACAACATTGTGAAAGTACTAAATGCCACTGATCTGTACATGTTAAAATGGTGAATTTATGTTCTGTGTATTTTATTACAATAAAAAAACAAAACCCCAATAATTGATGCATTGGTAGATGCATTTTCACAACCCTGCATTGTAATTATATTTTTCCTCCTGACATGTATCCCTACCATGAAGTATGCCCTAGTATCTGAATGCCTATATGTACATCAGCTTTAAAAAAATATCTGGGTGTTCCATTCTGTAGCATTTTGGCCTCACCCAGGAATATCTGATTCATCCACATCCCTGTTTTGAATTGGATTAAATATTATATTACCTGCACAAGTACATAAATTCCCTTGCAAGACTTTGGTCCTAGCACATATTTGCCTAATCTAGAAAATTCTATGTAAAGGGCAGGCTGGGAATGTCTGCCCTCTCCAAAGATATTACATGGCTTTCGTAGTAAGTGGGAAACAGGAGGAAAAAAGGGTCTGTATGAGCATAACTGAACCAGTTCCTGAGATTCTTCTCTCAGCCAGTGCAACTTCTCAGCACAGGACTCAGAAATCTCAGTTCTTCTGGACAAAGTCAATATTGTTCTTATATAAAGCAAAGAACATGAAAGGTGACAGGTCCTTAAGATCTATACAAGCACAGAGTACAAAAGGTAAATGGGGGCATTGGGAAAGGCTCATAAAAGAGATAAAGTCTACCAGGAAATCCTTGAGGCAGAAGTGGTGAATACCTCCCACAGAAAGGCTTCTGCAAAAGCCAAGGAAACTTCATGCTGGTCAAGACTGGTTTTGGTGAGCAAGGAAGGATGACCTCGTACACCACTGTGGAGGAAACTGCTTCTTGGCAAGTTTTTTTCTCACTCCAGCCCGTAGATTTCAGTTGCTCCTGCTATACCATGTCTTTCCAGAAATATGAAGGCTTGCGAAAGATAAACAAGCCAATGATGACCACTGTGACCAGGATCAGGGAGAAGAGGACCATGAGGAAAACATAGGTGGAATGGGAAAGAGGTTTGGACAATGGCTCCTCAGCTGGGATCATATTGGTCAGGTTCAGCATGTAGCCCAAAGTCCATCCAACATTGCTGCCCTGGATCTGCAAACAGAAAAATCTGTTGTTTCTGGTCCAAGAATTAAATGAGCTTTCATGCAACCCCACTCATCACACTGAGAGACCAGGAGTTAAATAGCGCTACATTCAGTTCTCTAAATGGATTACTTTCACATTCTAAACAGGGAATTTGGTTGTAGATAAAATGGAGAAGGAGCAAAGTGATCAACAAAGAGATTCCCAAAATTCAGAGAGGAATTTGGTAAATGACTACCTAATTCTGCCTAGAAGACCTTAATTCAAATAAGTCTTTGGAGATCTGCATTCCTCTTGTTATTTGCATAAATGTGGGAAGATGGAGAAGGAGATGGTGGGTAGCAGGAAGCAGGCAAAGGATGAGAGAATGATGATTGTTCCTGGCCTTTTACATCTGTGTCAGGCCTAGCAATATCATCCATATAAAACCAGGGCTTCTCAGTGATTCAACTAGGGAAAAATTGGGGAATAGTCCCAGTAAGATTGACTTACTTAAATGCATACGCACATGAGAAAGGATACTTACTAATGATAAAACATGCTCTGACTCTGCCACCTTCCTAGAAATATTTTCTAGTCACCTCAAAACTTACTGGAATATAGATAGTCTATGAATAATAATTTCGGAAATGTTATTATATGAGTTGTGCATGGTCATGGTAGAAAAATTAGGAAGTACAATTAATCCTAAAAAAGAAAATAAAAACCACCTATGCTTCACCTCTCAGAAGGTGCTGCTGGCTATTATCATTTTGTGACATCCTTCCAGTCCTCTTTGTGCATATATTTTCTTACAAAAAAATGAAATTAGATTGTATATATAATTATTCACTTAACAATACCTTGTAAACATCATCCCATGTCTATCAAGGGATTTCTACATCATCATCACTGGCGTGAACTTATATATTCATTTTTACTCATTTTATCCAATGTTTAAAAATCCTAAAAATGGAGTAATAGGATAAAATGATGTGCATATTTTAAGGCTCTTAGCATATACTGCCAAAACAACCCAAAGGTTGAGCCAGTTTACATTATAACCATTACCATGTGGAAATGCTCCTTTCTAAACTCTTACAGTACTGGGAATTAATAATTTGTAAAAGGTCCACCTCCCTTTATGAGGGACAAGAACCTTATTTGACTGCATGTATCAAAGAAGGCTGCAGTTAGAGGAATTAACACTTAGGGTTTGGAAATACTGGATTGTTCGTTGAAGTTCAAAGAATATAAATCACTCGTAAGTTTGACATAGATATATCCTTCAAAGAGGCAAAGTAAACTGATGGCATGGAAGATTGGAATATTAAACCAAGGAAAAGATTTGTGTTTTATTAGCAAGGTCAATATTGACAAGAGTCTAATGAAACTAGTTTCCTCAAGGCTGCTGCAGCCCTCTGCTTCAGTGCTTTGTTTTGCCTGAAATAACCATATTTAATAGAGGGAGTAAACTGTTTTTGCCATTAGTGGATATGGGTTTAAAATATAAACTGTTCTTGAAACTTTTCAAGCATGAGTTACCCATGAATGGCACAACAGATGTAAATGTTTGTCTGTGCCTGGATACCTGCAGGTGGCGCTATGGTAAAGCACAGCAGTGAGGTTACTTCTTTTAAGACTCAGGCTAAGCTTGGTTTTTAAGCAAAGATCTCACCTTCCCATTCACAGCCACTCATTCCCTTCTTCACACACTAATCTACTTCAGATTAGTCAAACTTGAAACTGTAAGTAAGGCCTTCACCCCTTATAAGAAACCACAATCATCCTTTCCAGATCCATGGAAGGGGCCTTTGGGGTGGATATTGAAGTCAGCACGCAGAATCACTGTGGCTACTGAAATACTGTTATATTACTTTAATATCTCATTTTTTTGTTTGTTTAATAAGGAATTAGTCACTGTTATGTGAGCAGAAAGGAGAGGCTGAGCATGCTGGTGGCTCTCCTTAGATAAGATATCCACAACTAGCTGGTCAACATAGGAGGATTTGAAAAAAAATGCCAGCTTGGGTTGGAGGTGAAGTGGTAGAACAGAACATCAGGCCAAAACTTAAGTCAGGTTGACTCTTGCCACTTTCAAGCCTAAAGCTGCCCCAGTCACTACCATCCACCCTTCCCCCAACCCAACAAGTGTCCAAATTACCTTGCCCATGAAATGAATATTCTTCCAGGAATCAGCTGTGAAATGATAGCCACTCAGAAGGAGAGAGAGAATGTAGGCTCCAGAAAAGCAGTATTCCCTCAGGTACTTCTCCTTTACGTCACCAAAATATATCTTCATCTGGAAGGAAAGGACAGATACTTGTACAACAGGCACCTCTCCATAGCCCTCTTTTTCACTATAGAGTTGATCAAGAGAGGAAAAAGCCCTAGTGCATGAAGGCCTGACAGTTGGCCTCTCCAGGGGGCTTTGGAAGTGGTGCTGCACTCCTTCAGTAGGAGCAGGGACTTATAGTTTAGGCTATGTTGAGGAAACATTTCCTTCACAGGGTTCTGAGATATTAATAAATGCTCCAGAAAAAAAGTAGTTTCTGTGGTCTAGTAGGTTCAGAAGTGCTGAAATTTTAGTATACCTTTTCATGCCTTGTGAAACTTGAGTTTCACAATCATGTAAGCATATTAAGAGCTGTGAAAAATCCTGCATGAAAGAAGTCCATTAATCTTTGTTTACAGAGTTTTCTAATTGACCAGAATTTCTGGTTTGGAGTCTCAATAAGCATCTTAAAGAAGTAGTGTCATAAAAAGCCTTGCCACTCAGTTTAGTTCCCAGACCAGCAACATCAACATCTCCTGGGAGTTTATTAGTCTTCACCCCAGTACTACCAATGCAAAATGTGCTTTTTAATGTGATTCCCCAGGTGACTGCATACACCATAAAGTCTGAGAAAGGCAGCTCTGGGACACAGCTTAGAAATGTTTTGCTCAGGACTGCTAAAAGTACTAACATCTTCCCTTCTGTCCTCTGTCCTTACCTAACCTCCTTTTTGGGGATCTTCTAGAGGCTTTCATATGTTTACTCACCCTACTCCTGAATGAAAATACTAAGGTTTGCCTGCTGACCCTTGCCCTTACCTCTCCTAGTTGTTGTAAATATATGCCCAGATGCCCACAGCTTGCTCTGCTTCTCTCCAGCCCTCAATTAGAGGACAGTAGGCCAGGATATCTCTAGCTTAACCCAGAGTTCTGTCTGCTATTAATTTCTCAGCCTTTGAGAAATACATTCTTTTGAAAGACATTCTTTTCTGGACACCATAGGCAGAGAGAGAACTAACATTTGATAGGCATTTTCATGTACTAGAATTATGCCTGATGTTTTATATTAGAGCCTCCTGGCTATCTGCCCCCCTTCCCCTCTTCCTTTTGTCCAGATTTCTCTCCCCTCCCAAGGAACATCTATCCCATTTCTAAACCCTGCCTGCTAGCTGGGGGTTCTGTTTCTCGCTTGACTCCTGCCAGCCCGCAATATCTGGGAGGCTAAGTCCCCATCTAGCCTGCCTTGTCCTGCTCTGATGAAATTCTCTGAATGGCCCTGCTTGGAATTGTCATTTTATCACAGTTGTAGAAATTACTCTTTGATAAACTCTGTGTGTGATGTTCTCCTGAGACCTTGGTATGACATCAATTGATTTTGCCTATCCAAGTTCCTACCCCTTTGAGTGCCTGCACCCTGCTTTTCTTTTGTGGAAAGACCTCTTCTCCCATTTAATGTAGTTTCAGCAAGCCTGTCAGAAAACCCTTATAGGATATAGAATTCCAAGAATCTACCTGGCCCAATTTGAAATTGCTACAACCCATAGGTTCTTGATGGCTAGCTTATCCATTGGGGAAATGCCATTTTAGTCTAATTTCACTGAATTCTTCAACATTCCTATCCCCCTCCTCCTGGAAAGCTGTACATTGGCTATGCAGTCTAACCTGCTGGAGATTAATTATTATGGCAACCAACAATATAGAAACCAAAGACATCTACCTGGTTCATCAATCCAGAATTGATGATGCTTGTGGATAAAGTACTTTGTGCTCTCCAAATACAGGGATGGTTCTCCCTCCTCTTTCTCCCACTCCTCTGCCTCTCTCCCTTTCTCCTTTCTATTCCCAGGGCAGTGGGACAGTACCAGCTTCTCTCCTCCTCACCCATCCTCCTATATGAAGGGGCATGGTAAATCTTCAAGAATGGAATGCATTTTCCTAGAAAGGCTAAAGTCTGTGACATTGAATGTCAGGACCCAGAGTACACCGACTATACGTAGAATCTTACAGCATTGTTCTGTTAGACTGACCAGATCTTGGATGACTAGATTTTCAGAGTGGAAATGTGGTTGTGTTCTGGTTACTAAAAAACTTTTACCAGCTCTCTAAATAACCCATCAGAAGATAAGCATGAAGGGCCCCTTTCACTCACTTTCCTAGCCTCTCCTCCTCAGGGACCCAAGGATTTAGAACACCCCATGGGGCATCAGTGGGTATCGTTTGAATTTTATTTCCCATTTCCCCTGCCAAAGCAGAGACAATAAGTAGGATATAATATGTAAAAATCATCTACCCACTTTTCAGCACAAAGTATATGCCTAACAATTGTTAGTTCTCTGTCTGCCAAAGCTATCTAGAAGGCACATTCCCAAACTCAAGCCACACCAGAATGACAGTCCTTCCTTGTGTTGAGGCTAGCATGAAAAGAAGAAAAAAGTTACCCTTATAACAAAGTACTTGATAAAACTATGCTTTCCCTATGAATGGACAATGCAGTTGGGAGAAATGAACTCTGGGTCATAATACCCACCTCAACGTTGATTCTAAACTCTGGGTGATGAGGGTCTGAGTCTCACCCTGCAACTCTCCTATTGACCCCCTGTCAAATGTTTCAGAATTTCACCCAAATGCATGCTTTCCTGAGCTTACTTCCATGGCTTCTGAGCAAACTACTCATGTGGCTTATCTGAGCCAGACCTACAGGAATATAACATTCCCAACCTAAGGTAATCTGATGAAATAAAAACCTAGAGGAGGGTAGGGAGAGGAAATCTGACAGAGCATTCCCTCTGAACAAGAAGTAATTTTTTTCAAAGAGTAGCCTAAATCTACTTCCTAAACAGCCATACATAGGTCTGGTCACAAGTTACCCTGAATCCAAGATGTTCATCTTCCTCTACAGATAACCACAAACTGCAAAAAAGCCTCTTCTGAATGTTAACTGTAAAGTACCCAGGCATATTTGAGTGTCTCTGAAAGCCCTGAATATGTTTCCTTCCTATCCTAATTCAACAAAATACACAGAATTCCAAACCTCAAGGCTCTTGCACAGTCTTCCTCCCCCCTTTGTCAGAGAACAACATCCATTTTTACTTAATTGCATTTCTTCAGAATGAAAGTACCATTCATTTTTGCAACTGTGTCAACTTAAAACAGCTGCTGTTTTGAGCTACCCCTACATGGTCTGTTTTTTTCAATCAGAGTAGACCCCACCCCTCTCCTCCCTGGAAGCATGGGATCTTGAATGATTCAGTGCCTCAGACAAGAAAAATCTTGACAAACTTATGAGTAAGTAGAGGATATCTTGGAGAAAGGATCTTAGCCACAATGGTGTGTCTGTAGCAGATTCTGTGAATTGCCTTCTTCCTTGCTAATAAGGGGGCTGGGGGATGGGAATGTGTGACTGCCTGGCTCCAGAAAGCAGCTCATGATGGATCTTCCTTGCTAATAAGGGGGCTGGGGGATGGGAATGGGTGACAATGCCTGGCTCCAGAAAGCAGCTCATGATGGATCTAAGGCTCTAAGCCAGTCATAAAATCCTGCATCCTGTTTTCCTAGCCAGTCCTGGCCAATGAGATGTAAGAGAAAGACTGCTAAGGAGCCTCTGGGATAGCTTTTACTTTCCGGTGAAAAGAAACAAATGTAGGTGGCTCTACAATTCTCACCTTGAACATGGCAAGTCAATGGTCTCTGAAGCCGCATCTTGTTTCCATGAGAAAATAAGCATGACAGAATTGAAGAAGAAATGGCTGAGATAGTCAAGCTGCTGACCCTATGCCAGCACCTGCCTACTGCGAGACTTCTTATTAGGTGAGAAACATAAGACCTTTTTTGTTTAAGCCATTGTTTGCCAAGTTACCAAGGAATGCTGATGAACTCATTCCTCACTGTAGCGCACCATCTGGTCTTCTCTACCATATTTGCTGGATCCTGGTCGAATTGGCAGGACTTGAAAAGCAGACTCACATCCTCTGTGATGTCGGGCACAAAGCTGCTGTTTCTAGCCACTTACCTGTTCCCAAGGCCTAGAGCAGAAGTTTTCCATTGTGTTTCTCATCTTTTCCTGGGACGGGGGTTCCTCTGATGTAAAGTTTAAAAAGTTCATTACATAATAATAAGCTGAAAATGCCTACAAGAGAAAAATAGAGAGTTTTGCACACTGAGTCCAACAGAGGGATGTTGCTCACTCTCCAGAAGGCCGAACACCTAGTGAGGATGCTTGGAAATCTCTGTTGAGTAAATTAATAGATCAAATGATATTTCAGACCCAAGAGCTGTTTCCTTCCTGTCAGAGGTGTCATTTTACTGCTGACATGCATTTCTGAGCCACCTTCTCTATAATTTTAATAAGAGAGGGTGAAAGATGGGGAAAAGAGAAGAAAAGAGAGGAAGAAGTTACAAAAACCCCATCCTTAAAAAAATGTGTTATATATGAATTTTTTCTTCACCATTCAAATGAGTTTTTTTGCACTTTTTTTACTGAAGGATAGTTGAGACGCAATCTTGGTTTCAAATATACAACACAGTGATTCAACAGTCACCTGTATTATTAAATCCTCACCCCCACTAGTGCAGTTACTGTCAACATAGATGTTACAGAATCATTGACTTTATTCTCCATGCTATACTACTATCCCTGTGACCAATTTATATTATGATTGAGAATTTTTATGCCTCTTTATTCCTCTCACCGTTCCCATCCCCCTAACCCCTCCCCCATGGTAACCACTAGTCAATTCTCAGTTGTCTATGAGTCTACTGCTATTTTGTTCATTCCGTTTTCCTTTGTATTTATATTCCACAAATAAGTGAAATCATATGGTATTTGTCTTTCTGCACCTGGCTTATTTCACTGAGCTTAATACCCTCTAGATCCATCCATGTTGTTGCAAATGGCAGGATTTCTTTTTTCTTTATGGCTGAATAATACTCCATTGTGTATAAGTACCACATCTTCTTTATGCATTCATCTATTGATGGATACTGAAGTTCCTTCCGTATCTTGGCTATTGTAAATAATACAGCGATAAATATAAGAGTGGGTGCATCTTTTCAAATCAGTGATTTTTTTTTTCTTCAGGTAAATATCTAGAAGTGAAAATGACTGGGTTAAATGGTATTTCTATTTTTAGTTTTTTGAGGAAACTCCATGCTGCTTTCCAGAGCAGTTGTACCAATTTATATTCCATATACCAACAGTGTAGGAGAATATATAAGAATTTTTTAATAAAAACTGGAAAATTAAGAGTAATTTCTGAATGACAATTGTAGGATTTTTTTCCTTAAATATCTGGGAGGCTAAGTCCCCATCTAGCCTGCCTTGTCCTGCTCTGATGAAATTCTCTGAATGGCCCTGCTTGGAATTGTCATTTTATCACAGTTGTAGAAATTACTCTTTGATAAACTCTGTGTGTGATGTTCTCCTGAGACCTTGGTATGACATCAATTGATTTTGCCTATCCAAGTTCCTACCCCTTTGAGTGCCTGCACCCTGCTTTTCTTTTGTGGAAAGACCTCTTCTCCCATTTAATGTAGTTTCAGCAAGCCTGTCAGAAAACCCTTATAGGATATAGAATTCCAAGAATCTACCTGGCCCAATTTGAAATTGCTACAACCCATAGGTTCTTGATGGCTAGCTTATCCATTGGGGAAATGCCATTTTAGTCTAATTTCACTGAATTCTTCAACATTCCTATCCCCCTCCTCCTGGAAAGCTGTACATTGGCTATGCAGTCTAACCTGCTGGAGATTAATTATTATGGCAACCAACAATATAGAAACCAAAGACATCTACCTGGTTCATCAATCCAGAATTGATGATGCTTGTGGATAAAGTACTTTGTGCTCTCCAAATACAGGGATGGTTCTCCCTCCTCTTTCTCCCACTCCTCTGCCTCTCTCCCTTTCTCCTTTCTATTCCCAGGGCAGTGGGACAGTACCAGCTTCTCTCCTCCTCACCCATCCTCCTATATGAAGGGGCATGGTAAATCTTCAAGAATGGAATGCATTTTCCTAGAAAGGCTAAAGTCTGTGACATTGAATGTCAGGACCCAGAGTACACCGACTATACGTAGAATCTTACAGCATTGTTCTGTTAGACTGACCAGATCTTGGATGACTAGATTTTCAGAGTGGAAATGTGGTTGTGTTCTGGTTACTAAAAAACTTTTACCAGCTCTCTAAATAACCCATCAGAAGATAAGCATGAAGGGCCCCTTTCACTCACTTTCCTAGCCTCTCCTCCTCAGGGACCCAAGGATTTAGAACACCCCATGGGGCATCAGTGGGTATCGTTTGAATTTTATTTCCCATTTCCCCTGCCAAAGCAGAGACAATAAGTAGGATATAATATGTAAAAATCATCTACCCACTTTTCAGCACAAAGTATATGCCTAACAATTGTTAGTTCTCTGTCTGCCAAAGCTATCTAGAAGGCACATTCCCAAACTCAAGCCACACCAGAATGACAGTCCTTCCTTGTGTTGAGGCTAGCATGAAAAGAAGAAAAAAGTTACCCTTATAACAAAGTACTTGATAAAACTATGCTTTCCCTATGAATGGACAATGCAGTTGGGAGAAATGAACTCTGGGTCATAATACCCACCTCAACGTTGATTCTAAACTCTGGGTGATGAGGGTCTGAGTCTCACCCTGCAACTCTCCTATTGACCCCCTGTCAAATGTTTCAGAATTTCACCCAAATGCATGCTTTCCTGAGCTTACTTCCATGGCTTCTGAGCAAACTACTCATGTGGCTTATCTGAGCCAGACCTACAGGAATATAACATTCCCAACCTAAGGTAATCTGATGAAATAAAAACCTAGAGGAGGGTAGGGAGAGGAAATCTGACAGAGCATTCCCTCTGAACAAGAAGTAATTTTTTTCAAAGAGTAGCCTAAATCTACTTCCTAAACAGCCATACATAGGTCTGGTCACAAGTTACCCTGAATCCAAGATGTTCATCTTCCTCTACAGATAACCACAAACTGCAAAAAAGCCTCTTCTGAATGTTAACTGTAAAGTACCCAGGCATATTTGAGTGTCTCTGAAAGCCCTGAATATGTTTCCTTCCTATCCTAATTCAACAAAATACACAGAATTCCAAACCTCAAGGCTCTTGCACAGTCTTCCTCCCCCCTTTGTCAGAGAACAACATCCATTTTTACTTAATTGCATTTCTTCAGAATGAAAGTACCATTCATTTTTGCAACTGTGTCAACTTAAAACAGCTGCTGTTTTGAGCTACCCCTACATGGTCTGTTTTTTTCAATCAGAGTAGACCCCACCCCTCTCCTCCCTGGAAGCATGGGATCTTGAATGATTCAGTGCCTCAGACAAGAAAAATCTTGACAAACTTATGAGTAAGTAGAGGATATCTTGGAGAAAGGATCTTAGCCACAATGGTGTGTCTGTAGCAGATTCTGTGAATTGCCTTCTTCCTTGCTAATAAGGGGGCTGGGGGATGGGAATGTGTGACTGCCTGGCTCCAGAAAGCAGCTCATGATGGATCTTCCTTGCTAATAAGGGGGCTGGGGGATGGGAATGGGTGACAATGCCTGGCTCCAGAAAGCAGCTCATGATGGATCTAAGGCTCTAAGCCAGTCATAAAATCCTGCATCCTGTTTTCCTAGCCAGTCCTGGCCAATGAGATGTAAGAGAAAGACTGCTAAGGAGCCTCTGGGATAGCTTTTACTTTCCGGTGAAAAGAAACAAATGTAGGTGGCTCTACAATTCTCACCTTGAACATGGCAAGTCAATGGTCTCTGAAGCCGCATCTTGTTTCCATGAGAAAATAAGCATGACAGAATTGAAGAAGAAATGGCTGAGATAGTCAAGCTGCTGACCCTATGCCAGCACCTGCCTACTGCGAGACTTCTTATTAGGTGAGAAACATAAGACCTTTTTTGTTTAAGCCATTGTTTGCCAAGTTACCAAGGAATGCTGATGAACTCATTCCTCACTGTAGCGCACCATCTGGTCTTCTCTACCATATTTGCTGGATCCTGGTCGAATTGGCAGGACTTGAAAAGCAGACTCACATCCTCTGTGATGTCGGGCACAAAGCTGCTGTTTCTAGCCACTTACCTGTTCCCAAGGCCTAGAGCAGAAGTTTTCCATTGTGTTTCTCATCTTTTCCTGGGACGGGGGTTCCTCTGATGTAAAGTTTAAAAAGTTCATTACATAATAATAAGCTGAAAATGCCTACAAGAGAAAAATAGAGAGTTTTGCACACTGAGTCCAACAGAGGGATGTTGCTCACTCTCCAGAAGGCCGAACACCTAGTGAGGATGCTTGGAAATCTCTGTTGAGTAAATTAATAGATCAAATGATATTTCAGACCCAAGAGCTGTTTCCTTCCTGTCAGAGGTGTCATTTTACTGCTGACATGCATTTCTGAGCCACCTTCTCTATAATTTTAATAAGAGAGGGTGAAAGATGGGGAAAAGAGAAGAAAAGAGAGGAAGAAGTTACAAAAACCCCATCCTTAAAAAAATGTGTTATATATGAATTTTTTCTTCACCATTCAAATGAGTTTTTTTGCACTTTTTTTACTGAAGGATAGTTGAGACGCAATCTTGGTTTCAAATATACAACACAGTGATTCAACAGTCACCTGTATTATTAAATCCTCACCCCCACTAGTGCAGTTACTGTCAACATAGATGTTACAGAATCATTGACTTTATTCTCCATGCTATACTACTATCCCTGTGACCAATTTATATTATGATTGAGAATTTTTATGCCTCTTTATTCCTCTCACCGTTCCCATCCCCCTAACCCCTCCCCCATGGTAACCACTAGTCAATTCTCAGTTGTCTATGAGTCTACTGCTATTTTGTTCATTCCGTTTTCCTTTGTATTTATATTCCACAAATAAGTGAAATCATATGGTATTTGTCTTTCTGCACCTGGCTTATTTCACTGAGCTTAATACCCTCTAGATCCATCCATGTTGTTGCAAATGGCAGGATTTCTTTTTTCTTTATGGCTGAATAATACTCCATTGTGTATAAGTACCACATCTTCTTTATGCATTCATCTATTGATGGATACTGAAGTTCCTTCCGTATCTTGGCTATTGTAAATAATACAGCGATAAATATAAGAGTGGGTGCATCTTTTCAAATCAGTGATTTTTTTTTTCTTCAGGTAAATATCTAGAAGTGAAAATGACTGGGTTAAATGGTATTTCTATTTTTAGTTTTTTGAGGAAACTCCATGCTGCTTTCCAGAGCAGTTGTACCAATTTATATTCCATATACCAACAGTGTAGGAGAATATATAAGAATTTTTTAATAAAAACTGGAAAATTAAGAGTAATTTCTGAATGACAATTGTAGGATTTTTTTCCTTTCTATTTGTGCTTTTTTTTGCCTACTTTCTATAATTTATATATACTACTTTCTTTAAATAGTTACTCTTTATTAAATAAATATTTATTGCAAGTCTTTCATGAGCTAGGCATAGTTAAAGTTAAAAAAGATCATCATACATAAGAACTATAGGAAAAAGTTAAAATGAGTAAAAAAGAAAACATTAAAATGACCCTAAATTCTACCACTTAGAGACAACTGTATTAAATATGACATATAGGCTTCCAATCTTTTTTCCATTCTAATATATATAAATAAATAATTTTTATTATGCTTTATACATGCTATAACTGCCTTTTTTTAGCATGAATTTAAAAGAGGAAAGAGGAAAACATAATTGAGCAGAGCTTGCTAGATGAGGCAGCTCAAACCCCAACTCTAGTGCTTCTTTTCTCTCTACTGCCCTAAATGGTGCCAATATTTAGCAGAAATCATTTGAAGGTCATAGGAGCATATCATTTTGTTTTTTCAACAGATATTCTGAGCTCTGTATGCTAGGAACTGGGCCGAATCAGAAAGGCTACTGTGATTAATAGAAGCAAAAAGCTTTCCCTATGCTAGAAATGGCTTGGATTGGGGATTATATTTTGCCTTCTGCAAAATTACTAAACTGGGTTTGAATGTAGAAAAGAAATGTGATTCTCAAAAAACCAAGCACATTCCCTTATAATTCTCATGGGCAAAGATAAAGGAGGGCAAAGAAACACGCCTTTGATGGACAAAGGAGTTAGCGGAGTTAGCATTTTGGTAGACTCAATTCTGACTCAAACAATAGGAAAAATATCCTCTTCCAGACAAGTTGCCAGCTGCAAAGAGGTCTTGTGCTTCAGTTCTAGTCCCAATGCCAACTTCTTAAAAACTACATTATTTTAAAAAAATTCTTATACATATGTAACTTCTAATTCAATAAAAATGAATGAGTGAGTGTATTCATCCTTTTTAATGTTTTCTTTTTCATTTATTTTTTGGCTTCATTTTCTTCTCCATTTCTAGTTAGAACAGGATCCTACATTAACAATGTGAAGCCTTACATTTTTTTCCTCCCTGCTTATATAATCATACACAAACACAAATAAAGGATTTGCTTTTTAAGTAAAAATTTAAAACACATTCTGCATCTTGCTCTTCTTACTCTTCACTCCTTGAATTCCCCCCCAAGTCAGCTGGGGACACTCAAATAGTTACATAAGAGTCCATGGTGTACACGTATCATAATTCATTAAACAACTCTCTACTGGTGGGCATTCCCTTGGTTCCTGTATTTTTCCTTGTGAGCAATGTTACTATAAATAACTCTGTACACTTAGTCTGTGTGCTCATTCCCTAGGAGCTCTGATTGGCAATGTCTACATTCCTTGAACTCAGGAATTCCGACACTTTAAATATTATATGCCAATAGCAGAACAAGATCTTGATATGCTCCTACTTTTACTATCTTAAGCCACCATCATCTATGTGTGGGCCCTACAATGGCCTCTCACTTGGTCTCTACATTACCTTTCTAGTCCTAGTCCAATCCATCCTGCACGTGGTAGTTGCAGAAATCTTTTAAAAAACGAATTTGATCATATCACTCCTCTGCTTAAAGCCTTCAGTGACTCCTAATTGTACCTACAATAAAGTCCAAACTCTACCCGGTCTCTCAAGGCTAGGCATGATCTAAGAATGTAAGAGGCACTAGGTAAATCTCTTGACTGAAAGATTGGGTAAATCCAGAGACTGGATAGCTATGATATACAGAGCAAATGCTTGGAAAGATTACCTCCCCCCTATTAATTAAAATAAGTAAGAGGGTTTTCCTCTAGTGAACTGCTTGTAGGACAGGAGGGAGAGGAGGACTTTTTAGGTTTTACTTTTTAAAATCTTATTTTTATTGTATAAGGACATTTAACGTGATCTCTCAACAAATTTTTAACTGTACAATACAGTATTGTTAACTATAGGGACAATGGACAACAGATCTCTAGAACTTAATCATCTTGCATAACTGAAATTTTATCCCCATCAATTAGCAACTCCTCATTTTCTCCTCTCCCAAGCCCCTGGAACCACCATCTATTCTCTAATTCTGACTTTGATTACTTTAGACACATCATGTAAATGGAGTCATGCATTGTCATTTTGTAACTGGCTTATTTCACCTGGCATAATGTCTTCAAATTCATTTTTGTTGCATATCACAGGATTTCCTTCTTTTTAAATCTGAATAATATTCTGTTGTGTATATATATACAAATTGTGTGTGTATATATGTATGTATATCCATTCTTTGTCCATTCATCCATCAATAGACTTTTAGGTGTTTATGTAGTTTCCACATCTTGGCTACTATGGATATTGCTGCAGTGAACATTAAGTGCTAATATCTCTTCCAGATCCTGGTGTCAATTATTTTGGATAAATACCCAAAAATGAAGTTGCTGGGTCATATGATAGTTCTATTGTTAGTTTTTTTTTTTTTTTTGAGGAACCTCCATACTGTTTTCCATAGTGGCTGCATTGTTTTGCATTCTCACAAACACTGCACAAGGTTCCAGCTTCTCCAAATCCTTGCCACACTTGCTGTCTTTTGCTTTTTTTCTGATAATAGCCATCCTAACAGGTATGAGGTGATATCTCATTGAGGTTCTTATCTGCATTTGATTTGCATGATTAATGACACTGAGCATCTTTTCATATACCTATTGGTGATTTGTATGTCTTCTTTGGAAAAATGTGTTTTCAAGTTCTTAGCTCATTTTTTTAATTGAGTTATTATTTCTTGCTATTACAGGCCTTCCTTATATATTTTAGAAATTAACCTCTTATCTGATATATGATTTGCAAATATTTTCTCCCATTCCATAGGTTGCTTTTCACTCTGGTGTTTCATTTGCTAAAGAAAAGTGTTTTAGTTTGATGTAGTCCCTCTTCTCTATTTTTGCTTTCGTTGACTGGGCTTTTGCTGTCATATCCATGATATCAGTGCTAAGACTAATGTCATGAAGCTTTTCTCCTATGTTTTCTTTTAGGAATTTTACAGGTTCAGACCCATTCTAAGTTGAGTTTTGTGTGTGGTGTAAGATATGTATCCAATTTCATTCTTTTGCATGTGGATATCCAATTTTCCCAACACCATTTATTGAAGAGACCATCCTTTTCCCATGGGGTATTCTTGTCAAGTTTGTTAAAGATCAGTTGATATGTATGCATAGATTTATATTTCTGGGCTCTCTATTCTGATCCACTGATCTGTATGTATGCCAGTACCATACTGTTTTGATATTTTTTTTATTGGAGTATAGCTGATATACAATATTATATTGGTTTCAAGTATGTAGCATAGTGCTTCAAAGTTACATAGTTTATTAAATCCTCACCCCAACTAGTGTAGTTACTATCTGTCAACATAGAAAGATGTTACAGAACTATTGACTATATTCTCTATGTTGTACTTTCATCCCCACAATTAATTTATATTATGATTGAGATTTGGTGCCTCTTTATGCCCTTTACCTATTTCTCTCATACACCCCCAGCCCCATCCCAGTGGTAACGTCCAGTCACTTCTCAGTGTCTACAAGTCTATTGCTGGGTGCTATACTTTTTAAATTACTATTGCTTTATATTTTGAAATCAGAAAGTATGATACCTCCAGTCTTGTTATTCTTTCTCAAGATTGTTTTAGCTATTCGGGGTCTTTTGTGATTGCATATGATAACTGTTTTTTCTATTTCAATAAAAAATGCCACTTGGACTTTGATGAGGATTGCATTGAATTTGTAGGTCAATATTGCTGGTTTGGACATTTTAACAATTCTAAGTCTTCATTGAATGTGGGATGTC